ATTATAATATTTTTTTCTCTTTTTAAAATCTTCACATTTATCAAAATAATGTGTATAATTTACATGTTTTTAAAATATAAATGTACTATTGTTGCACACTGGAATATTGACAGTGATAGACAGAGGAAAACCCAACCTATTTTTTTAGGATGGGTAAAATAGGATTTTGAAATGTATAATTTTATGTATGAAATAGAAAATGAATAATTTTTTTTTTCCGAAAACTTGGGCAACTGCAATTATTGAATAAAGATATAGAGTGTAATGTCTTAGCTTTACACGAAAGTCCAATACACAAGCAAATAAGAGATAAGTGCAACAATTATAAGTTACACTTATCACGAAGTTTCCAATTACACTTTAGATCGTTAGGATTTCATGTCATTCAAGCTAAGATTATATATCCTTTCGTATCGATATGTACGTCTTATCGAGATGTTCAACCTGATGTTCATAAGCTTGCAGAAATTAGAGTTCGAATGAAACTTCAGAAGTCTACAATTCAAATATGCATTTAGATTCGTGCTCGTTCAAGACTATTTTTTTATTACTTCTCAATTACATAAAATAATTACTCAACATGTAAATTTTAAAATAAGCAAATTTAAGCTAGCATTATTTATATAATTAATTAATTGAAAATTAAATTTATTTTGTTTTCCAGTAGATATAAAATTGAGCCCACAGCATGCAGATTGCCGCAAATCTCTCACATATTCCAATTGCATGGCAAAAAAAAAAACCCACGAGACTTTTCATATTAAACTCAAACCTCTTTAAACGTACGGGTGTCAATTCGGGTCAACGGGCCGGGTTCGAGTCGAATTCAGAATTGATCCGGCACTATTCGGGTCAACCCGAACCCGAGACGAATGACACGGAGTTTACCCAAAATTGTTAGTTTTCGGGTAAAAAATCGGGTCAATCTTCGATTTTCGGGTCAAAACGAGTAAAAAACGTGTCAATCTCGGGTTTTCGTGTCAAATATGAGTTTTCGTGTCACTTTCGGGTCAATTTCGGGTTGCTGTGTCAACCCGAACCCGACCTGATTTTTAAAATGGGTTGATTTGTTGAATCCGAACCCGACCCATTTCGGGTTCGGGTTGACCCGAACCCGGATTTTAACGGGTTGGATTCGATTTGTGTTTCGGGTCGTGTCAAAAATTTACACCCCTATTTACACGTCTTAGTCGTACTCAACATCAAATTTTATTTGAAATAGAGCCCTATTTAAGAAATATTTTAAATCTATAAATCATAATTAAATCATTAAAATCCAAAACTTAGACAGGCGGATCTAACCGATTTGATTTGATTCAGATTTGCACTATTGACTATAGGGTCTGTTTTTTGGGAAATATTTGTTAGAGTTTTAAAAATTGTTATATTTCACATGCAAAGTATTTTAAGAGTGAATTTGAAATTCTTATTTAATATAAGATTTATTTGGGACAATTTTTTTATTGATTTTTAAAATAATTTTTCAGTAATTTTTTTTTTTGAATTAAAAATATTTGTACTATAAAACTACTTTTGAAAGCATTAAGAAAACTATCACAAATGCAACCTTAGTTTCAATGAATTTGCAATTCATCTGAATTAAATAAATTTCAGTATGTAATTTATGTAAAGTGATGTTGGTACGCTGCTAGCCACTGCTGATTATTACCGCATGTTGATGGTTACTATTGACCATTGTCGTCTAGGGGTATCAAAATCAGGTTACGGGTTGGGTTCGGGTCGAACCCGACACTGACCCACTACTGTTTTATACAACTCGAACACGACCCATTTTTTGCATACAGGTCAAAAATGTAACCCAGACCCAACCCATTGGGTTTTCGGGTTGACCTGACCCTACTTTAAACCAGTTGTGAGCCTTTTATCGCAAAGTGGGACGGTGTGAGCACTCCTGAGCTTCACTTGATTGAATGGGATAGCGGTAATGGCAGCGAAAACTCTGACAGGATGGTGGCGCAGGCAGGTCACTGACAGCAAGTGACGCGACCTAACACAAAGATGCGAGTGAGCATTTTTCTAAATGGGTCAAAATCGGGTTAATTTCTGATTTTCGGATCAACCCAAACCATACTCGTTTTTCCAAACAGGTCGAATCCAGGAATCTGAACCTAGCCCATTTTAAAACCAGGTCGGGTTTAACCCAAAATTCTCTGGTTGAATTCGAGTCATATTTTTTCGTGTTGTGTTAAATATTGACACCGCTATTATCACCACCACCATTCATAGCCGATAACTACCATTAATGTCTACTAACATCATATGTCACTTTAGCCCTTAAGCCGGCTATCATTCACCTTTGATCCACTATTGTTTCAAATGCTCTGCTAGTTTATTTAGCATTCATTTGCTTTAGATTAAATAATTAAGCATTTATATATGAAATAGAGGGATAATTTGTCCAAAATAAGTTTTTAGATATATTTGCTCGAGAAATGAAATAATTGATATATTTCTTTAATTTCAGTTATTTTGGGCATATAAATTTAAATTTCCTATTAATAAATAATAATTTTCTATTTAAATTGACTATTAAAAAAAATGTTGCATATTAAACTTTTAAGTACATCAAGATGAAACTATCAAAATATTTTAACTTTGTTTTTTTTTTCAAGATATTAAAATATATTACTTCTTTGATTAATCAATTTCATTAATATTTTACAATTTAAAAAAGTTTCAAAGTTAAATTATATCTTAAATAAATAATTTAAATATATTTTTAAATTTTAAAATTATTGCGGGCTAGAATATACACGATGATAGAGTTAAAATATTGTGTCTTAGTGTTGTACGGATATCCAGCTCATACACAAAGAACAAAATATATTTTTGCGTGGAAAACTCTGGATAGTGGAAAAGCAACATGACATGGCCTAGTCTGAAATGATTCCATTATTATTTGGGTATATTACAATGGGCTTACTCGTCCTTGAGGGCGATCAGATAACAAATGTCAATCATTTGGTTGAAATCTAGTGACAAATAGGGATGAAAGTTCAACATCACTTGGTGGACTGGCAGAAGTTCGATGCTATTTGAAAATTCGAGCATCAGTTGGTAGCCTAGCATTGGTTTGACAGAACTTCAGCGTCGGGCGATGGTTTGGCGGAATTTTGGAGTTAGATGTTGGTTCGGCGAAACTCCGGACGTCAAGTGATGGTCTAACTTCGAGAGTACTCCGTATGTCAAGTGGGGGTTAGGTAAAACTCTAGGCGTTAGTTAGGTGGTGGTCCGGCGGAACTCTGGGCCTCAGGTGATGGTTCGATAGAAGTTTGAGCCTCATGTGGTGGTCCGATAGAACTTTGGGCCTTAAGTGTTGGTTCGGCGAAAGTCCGGGCCTCAGGTGGCCGTCAAGCAGAACTTTGAGCTTCAGGTGGTTGTCCGGCGGAACTCAGGGCCTCAAGTAATGGTCCAACGGAGATTAGGGCCTCAAGTGGTGGTCTGGCAGAACTCAGGGCCTCAAGTGATGGTTCGGTGGAGCTCAGGGCCTCACGTGGTGGTCCATCGAAACCAGAATATCAAGTTGTGGTCTGACAGAACTCAGGGCATCATGTGGTAGTCCAATGGAGCTCAGGGACTCAAGTGATGGTCCGGTGTAACTCAGGGCCTCAAGTGGTGATTCAGTAGAAGTATGAGCCTGAGGTGGTGGTCCAACGGAGCTCATGGCCTCAGGTGGTGGTTCGGCAGAACTCAAGGCCTTAAGTGGTGGTTCGGCAAAAATCTGGGCCTCAGGTGATGGTCTAGTAGAACTTCGGGTCTTAAGTAGTGGTCTGGAGGAAGTCTAATGATCAGGTGGTGGTCCGGTAGAACTCCGAGCCTTAGGTGGTGGTCCAGCGGAACTCATCGCCTCAAGTGGTAGTCCGGTGGAGCTCATGGCCTCATGTGGTGGTTCGGCAAAACTCCAGTCCTCAAGTGGTGGTCCGACGGAGCTCAGGACATCAAGTGGTGGTCCGGCTGACCTTAAGGCCTCAAGTGGTGGTCTGGCTGACCTTAAGGCCTCAAGTGGTGGTCCGGCAGAACTCAGGGCCTGAGGTGGTGGTTCGGCGGAGCTCTAAGATCCTCAAGTGGTGGTCCGGCGGATCTAAGGGTCTCAAGTGGTGGTCCGACAGAAGTTCGAACCTCAAGTGGTGGTTCAGCGGAACTCAGGGTCTCAAGTGGTGGTCCATCGGAACTCAAGGCCTCAAGTGGTGGTCTGGCAGAAGTTCGACCTCAAGTGATGGTCCAGCAAAACTTTGGGCCTTAAGTGGTGGTCCGGCGGAAGTCCGCGCCTCAGGTGGTGGTCCGACGAAACTCCAGGCAGTGATCCAGGAGGCAAGGAGGTAAAAGCGATCTCTGATCCATCTCTTTTCTCCTTAAGCTTAGGGGTCCCTTTTCAAGAGGAAGGATGAGCCTATTTTTAGATTTCCTAGAGTAGTGTGGCCCATATAGAAGAGGAAGATCAAGGGTAAATGATGAGTGGTTTAGATGGACGGCCGATATTGAATCCCTTGATCGTGGACCGTTTGTTAGACATTTGAAGGTCTTAGTAATGCCGGAATTCCGTGATATTAGGCTCATTCGATTCGTCTCATCGAGCCGGTCAATTTGACTATAAGCATGCACATTTGGAAATCATTTGGTAATCTAAATTATGGTTTGAGCCTTCCAACAACACTTCAGGTCCTTTATCTAGTCCCATTTGGGCTCGGATTCACTTGAATTTGGTGTCATTGGGTTTGTATTCCCGAGACGTTCAGTTTGACCATAAGTTTCCAACTTGTTTTTACCACGAGTTTCATACCCGATCATGAAATTTTGATGATGATGTATCAAAAATATTTGAAATATATTTAAATTAATTTTTATCTTTAAATGATTAATTTTTAATTTTTCCCCTTTAAAAACAAATACATCAATTATTAAAATATTTTCTCATTAATTAAGTTCAAAAAGCACCGAAGCCTACCTCCTTCCCACTATTTATAACACCCTCCACCCACCATCGCCTCTTACTCCTCAACCCATTCTCTCTCCAACCCCCCAAAGCTTCTTCCAAGTCATCCATGGCGAAAGCAGCCGCCTTCTTCCTCCTCATTGCCCTCATCTTCTCCATCTCCTTAACGCAATCTGCCAGAACTCTCCCTGTAGAAAAGCCCAGCTCGGTTCAGGTGATTAATTACAAAAAAAAAAAAGTCCTTTTCCCTCTTCTTTAGCTTTGGTTTCTTCTTTCTCTGTTTCTGAAACGCCATGATTTTAATCAGGGTTTTGATGAAGAGAACATGGATTTGAGCTGTGACGGAGTTGAGGAGGAAGAATGTTTGATGAGGAGAACTCTTATGGCTCACACTGATTACATCTACACGCAGGGGAAGGTTCATAACTGAGGTTGGGGTTAGATTAGGGTTTTTTTTTTCTTTGTGGTTCTTTCATAGGGTTGGAATTTCTGCGCTTCATGAAATCATCTATGTTATTAATGAATAATGATGATATTGGTTTTAGGGATTTCATCATTTATGTCGATTTGCGTCTTGGCTGCTCTGTTTGTGTTGGATTGGCTGATTTCGCTCGCAGATTCTGATTAATTTGGGGAAGAAATGGAGAATACAGTAATGAAATTTTGACATGAATGAATTTACTAAAAATTATTAATTTTTTGTAAGGATGTGAATGTTAAAGCATAAATCAAATCTTAACGGATTCAATTTAAAAAATTTTTGAAAGCTAATAAGCAATTACAATTAAATATAATTGCAAGGGGAAAGTATTTTCTTTGTTTTCATCGCCGGACTTCTTTAGATTCTCTTCCCGTCCCATTAGCCGAGACTATACCGGTAAAGGCCAGACTCGCCGGACTCCGTCATCGTCCTATTATCTGACCATTTTTGCTCAGGTCTTTCTGTTCGTCTCAGCCTAATAAATTTATCTTTTTTAGTCGTCTCAGGTATTCTATTGACTCAAATGAAAGCATACTCCCTTTTGTGTTTCCTAAGTGATTCTCAAAGTGATTAAGGTGAAGAAGATCAACGGTGGAGAGTTACTGTTACTGTCCGGTTTGTGATCTATGGTTGAGCTGGGTGTGTAGAGATGATGTCTGCTCAGCTTAGAGTTGGGATTGCTGCTGATTGTTGGTTTCTTTCAAGTTAAGGGTCTGGTGATCGGGATTATTAACTTGTTGGAAAGCTTTAGAAATGTTGGGATTTTGGTGAAGATATCTGCTATTTGATTTTGAGTGTTAGTATGCAGAACTATGAGTTTATTAGCCCATGTTATCTCTAATCTGATTTTTTATTCTATGCGGATACCGGACGAAGAGAACCGTTTGATTTTCTCTCTTTATACAGTCAAAGAGCAGTCAAATACAATTACTATAGTAATTACGCTTTGACGGTAGACAAAGAGAAAACCGAGCAGTTCTCTCCGTCCAGTGTCTGCACAGAATAATCTCTCCTCTAATAGGTTGATAGTCAATTTTAATAGGTTTTGTACTGGAATGAAAGATTGGGTTGTTTTCTATTGCGGTTGTGAAAATAAATATTTTCACAGTGAAGGAGAGTATTGTTATATGATGTAAGTTGTTGCTGCCGAGAGTTTCGTGTACTTAGCTTATGTTGATGAATTAGTGATAGTCTTAAGTTTTGTTACGCTTCGAGAGAGAAGGGTATCCATAAATAAGAGCAATAGTTAGTGGTTGATTTTCTATTTTGAGGATTTTTGGCTCATTTAGAGTTAGAGAGGATTGATTGTAGGAGTTTTTTTAGGTTGGATTGGTAGACTTTGAGATAATGTGCCTGTGAAATATAATAGTAGTTGCTTAAATAGTCAAAAATGAAGATTAAGGCTTCGTTTGTGATGACTTTCTTACTGCTTCTCAAAGCAGTTTTATTGTTCAAAAAAGCTGCTTTAAGAAACAATAAAAAAACCGTCCCAAATGAAGCCTAAGTGATTAATAGATTTGCTGATAAATTTGAATGACTGCGCATGTTATATCAAGTCGGGCTATTGTAAGATATTGAAGTGATACTACCATATGTTGATAATAATGGGGGTTCTCATAAGGTTGTTAGAGTTTGGTGGTAGTGGATAGCTCTCACCATGTTGGGTTCAGAGTTAGTTGATATTTCTTCATGTCAAAGTTAAAGTATTTCGTTAGTATAGGATTTGTCCGAGAGCAAAAAAGCTTGGGAAGTTGTGTCAACTTGAATGTTACTGTCTAGGACATATGAAATTCACGAAAGAGCTCCCCATCGGTCGACGATAATATGATTTGCGATGATGTGATCCAGAACACAAATATTGTTTCAGACATAGAGACCGTAAAATGTTGAAGTGTTTTGCCCGGTTTTCATTTGGGACAACTTTCTTTCTGCTTTCTAAAGCATCTTTCTAGAAGCAATAAGAAAGCTATCATAACTAAAACCTCAATCTAAATTAGGTGTTTTGGTGGCCAGTCATCAATCGTTATAAGACCGAGGTTTACAGTGAAAGAACCTTCCAAAATATTTTTTTTGTTAAGGCAAGAGAATATTATATTATTATTTGTAATTCTCCAAAGATGCAAAAATCTACACGCTTCCAACGATTAATTAACTAATTTTGACTAAATTATAGGATTATGACGACCGGTTAATATATTCTTTATGATAAGAATGCATATTACAGTGAATCCCCCTCAAATAATACGCTTAGAATAAAAACTAACCTTCTAGAATGAGTGGACCTCATTCAAGAAAGAAAATTAAATAATATTCCTATTTGCCAATCTGATATGAAAAATTAGGGTTCGTGTTGACTCGTTTGATTAACGCGATGGATTCGAGTTTGGAATTTCGACCTGTTTATTAAACGGGTTGAGTTTAGATTGACCCTCAAAGTGCTTTTGATTCAGAAATGACTCCTTTAATATCGGTTTATTTTAATTGCTAATGAGGCTATTGATATCTTTAGGAGTGTCAATAAACGAATTAACCCGTCAACCTGATCAGACAATTGTAGGCTTGGTTGACCTGTTTAATAAACGAGCTCGGTTCGAATTTAGAATTCTGACCTGTTTATTAAATAGGTCAGATTTAGGTTTACACTCAAATCGCTTTTGACTCAAAGATGACTCTTTTAATAATTTTTTCTTTTAAACTATTTTGCTCATGGGTATGACCTTACTTTTTATCAAATAATTTGTAGTCTATATTTGATAAGTTATATTTTTTTTATAATTAAAATAGGTTAACGGGTCGGGTTAAGGTTTATTTAAACATATGATCTTCTTATTTTTTTTATCAATTATTAACTTGAACTTTATAGTTGATAATTTATATATATTTTTATAGTTAAAATTGGTGAACAGGTCAGGTTCGACTTTATCTATTTTTACCTATATATTAAACGAGTCGGGTCAGCTTGACTAAATAAGGATCAGGTCAATATAAGTGGTATTCAAATATGATTTGTTAACCCCTTTTGACACCACTAGATATCTCTTTGAGATACTAATTTCCATATCTAAAATTATTATGTGAATTGTGTTCAACCTCTCGATATCCTTATCAAAGTGTGAATGGAAGCGACTCCCCCCCAACTTGAAGAACACATCGAAATTAATTCATTATAAGAAAGATGTGAAAGCTAATATATATAATCTTGTTGTGTTTGATAATTGAGTATTGCTTATGAGGATGATGAGGACATTTTGAATAATTCTTTGAGTGTATAATCTCATGGTGAGAATGAGAAGGATAAGATTGGATATTATATATTGACATTTGAGAGTGTTTGGAATTTCTTATTTTGCCTTTCTTATTGGAAATTGGAATTTCTTTGAAGGGAGTGAAAAAGAGCTTCAAATGCTTACATCAACAAAAACAAAATGTTAAGGCTGCATTTAGGAGAGCTTTCTTACTGTTTTATAAAACAGCTTTTTAGTATAAAAAATTTTTGAACTTGAAATTTTTATACTAAAAAACTGCTTTAGAAAGCAGTAAGAAAGCTCTCAAACAAAGCATAAAGTTCCCCCGAACCCCATAAAACCTATATAGTAGCTCCATATAAACCCTACTCTAAACCTACTAATCATGCATTCATAATCACAATGCATATTGGCTAAAATCACTTTTCCCCCAAACACTAATTTCACCATTAAAGTTAATGACTTCAACAGCAAAGTAAGTAGGCTCCCAAGTCAACGGCTTCCAGCTGATTGTGGCGCATTTGATCACGGAAGGCATCCTTCCATTACCTTTATCATACCACTTTGATATCAATATTATATTAAAAAATATACAATAAATTAATATTAATATTATTTTTTATGTGATATAGAAATTTGAGAATTATATAAATAAATAGAAAATTTTAAATGTTAGATATGTATATTGATAAGAACTTTCTATTTTATTTTGTAATTTTAGAGAATTTCATAGAAAAACAAGTTTGAAAAGTATGACACGGAAAAGAAAGGAAAGGGAAGAAGACTTCCAAAATGCTGGTCTCCCTATTTGTGGTTTTGTTGCAGTAACATTGTGGCTTCGTTTGTGCAGAGGCCGGACGCAGATCTACGTCTGAAGGCAAATTAGGTGCAGCCACGTCAGCGAAACCGAGCAATATCGAGCCATGGTAGACAACGAAGGGGTGACGTGGTGCATTCTGCAGGTTAGTCTCCGGACGGCATTCGGTGTATGCACAGAATAATAATCCTTTGTTTGAGATAGTTTTCTTACTGTCTTCTAAGTCATTTTTTTAGTACAAAAATTTTTTGAAAGCAGCAAAAAAAATTATGTTCAAAAACTGTACCAAATAAGGATATCATTCATTTTCAACCATATATAATATGTAGTTATTTGCATAGCAATAAGAGAAAGCTTCTTGGTGAATTTGCAACTTATGTTTCCAACATAGACTAGCACTTTATTTAATAGTCCATATGAAAGAAACTTTCCCCTTTTAGTTTTTGTAAAATACATACAAGCAGGAGGGGAACCGGTATCTCTTTAAAGGGTAGATAAAATATGATTATGAATAGTGACAGAATCAGCTTTAATTTTCAGGGGGTCAACTTATAAGCAGCTGTTAGTGTTGCCTCGAATTTGGCTCGACCATTCACTACAAGAAAATGGGCCAGTAACGACCCATATTTGTTCAAATCCTTGTTTTTTATACGCTTCGCAGATATATCGGGGGTACAAGAAGGCAGCACCCCTTGACGGGGTTTGACCTGATTATGATATATATATTAGAATTTGAGCAATTGCATTTATTGAAGATGGGCAAACTCTTCCTGGTATAGATATCAACAACTATAATGAGAGGGAAATATATATTGTCATAATATTTTGATAGATATTACATTTAAATTTCATATTTATTATGATATTAATATAAGAAATAATCTTAAATAAATTTTTTATTGTATGAAAATACAATTTTAATGAGAATATTGGTTTTCTTTTTGGTGGATGTCATAAAATCCCTGAAATTGTACTAATTTTATCTATTATTATTGTTGTCTTTAATAAATTAATTTGATGGGCATGTGAGAGCTCTGAGT